GGAATTGGTTGAAGAATATGAAGATTGGAGTCTATAGTGAAGTGGTGAATTGATCTCATTAGTACAGTTGAAATGCTATAACCAGTGGGTTTCTCAAAATGGTTGACAAAGCGCAGTTTGGACAATCCTAGTTTGAGATGTATCATAAGTTGGCTTGATACTGATCAAGCTAGTGATCTCAAGTTGAGGAAGTTGCAAGTCTAAGTATGATTGAACGCCAGTGAGTCAAGAAATGTGTATGGTTTAGTTTGACAAGTTGAAGAAGCAAAGATGGAGTGTTCACTTTGTTTTGGAAGTTGCAATAGAGAAAATTTTGCTTTGGTAATGAGATAGTATAGTTGGAAACTATGATACTCAAGAGTGAAGGTCGGGAGAGTAGTGTGAAGTCATCAAAATGGTAGGAATTTAGAGTATCAGTCAAGAGTTGATTTAAATTCAAGATTTGCAGAGGATAGAAGTGGGGTTGATATTGTGGCTGACACAATAGAGTAGATTATGTGAAAGGAAGATTCGTATTAACTGAGGTTTTAAAGTTCAATTTTGTTTTGAGAGTAATGGCTAGACCAAATCTCCACTATTGAACACTAGAGAATTTTAAACAGAGGCAAGGTTTTCATGTTAGTAACTTGGTTGGGAGTAGTATCTTTGTCAAAATAGGTGGTTGTACTAGAGAATGTAATTAGTGTAGCTTGTTCCTTCTAACTGATAAGTGAATTTTCGAGGTCGAAATTTTTTTATGTTGGGAGAATGTAAAGTCCCAAAAAATAGAATAATAAAGTAGATAGAGGTATTAAGATAACTGAACTGAGCCTTTAATGTTGAAATACACCAATAGTATAAATAGGAATTTCTAAACACTCAATTCATTATCTTAAAACGGTTTATCTCTCTAGAATCACTATTTTCTAATTTTCATCTCCCTTCTCTCTAGATTTCTTCACCCATAGTTCATATGTTCAACAATCAGGGGGCACCTGAGTGATCCTGACATCACAAGCTTCCTATTCCCCCGATCAATTTCGTGTTTAGAACAGGTAAGTGTCATTCCTTAAATTCTCATGAATTTCTGGGATTTTTGGTACATGCAAGAAAGCTTTGTTGTTTGCATGTGTTTAACAGTATTCTATTCCCCTTTCTAACTTCATTTTGGTGCTAGGGTTGATGTCCTTTCATAAATCGGTGGTCTGTAGGTGTTCTTAAAATTTCCTTGAAGAGTAAGCAAACTTCTGAAGGTTTGTGGAAGTTGTCCTGTTCGGTTAGAGGTAAGGGAAGCTAGTTAATTTAATTGGTTTATGTGTTGTGGAAATGTACTGTTGTATAATGTTGTTTGGAAGTTTGCTTGGGTATGTAATTGAGTGAATGTGTGAATTGTATAGTGGTATGAGATAATGTAACCCGTGACCTTGTTGAACTATTTTGTTTTGAGTTGCTGGTGTTGTTCTTGAGTGTGTTTAAGGAAGTGGAGTAGCAAAAATGGGGAATTGGGGTTAGGAGTTCAATTGGTCACTGGGGAAAGCTTAGATGAGTTATTTAGGACTTGTTAGAATCCCTAAGTCAACCAAACTGTGCCAAAAACCAGTAGAATTGAATTTGAGTCCTTAGGTTGATGATTATGCAGTTTTGGATCGTGAATTTGGTAGCAGACTCTTTAGAAAGTGTTTATAAAGGTTTAGACATCCTTGGAATAATGTAAGTTGGTATATGATTCAAGTATGGGGAATTAGAAGTTGGGAAAAATATTCAGTTTTGGTAAAGTTAGGAGTTTTTCATAATTTTGCAGATATTTCTGCAGAATTATGTAGAATGTGGAATATGCGTTGTTGACCGCTTGGCCATGCGTTGATTGGCCGTTCGGCCATATTCAGGTGCTCGGTCATTAACTGGGTTCAGTCTCCTTAGAGTCTTACCAGTCCATGACCGTTCGGTATTAGGTGTGGGTGATATTCCTTTTGGGTTCGGTCTTAACTGAGTTCTGCTTCTGTGGAGTTTTCAATTAACGACCGGATGATCTTGCACTAGTACTCGGTCTGGTATTGTTGTTCGGCCTTTGATGGGCCTTACCTGTTACTAACCGTTCAGTCATGCTTTAGTGTTCGGTCCTAAGAGAGTATTTTGTCTAAGTCCAGAGTGTTCGGCTTTAGGTGGGTACTTTGTCTTGGAAGTGCTTGGACATGTATTAGTGTTGGGTTTTTCCCTGGTGATTTGGTCCTTAATAGTGTTCGGCCATTTCTTCAGCCTTACCTAGTATGGACCGTTCGGTCCTGTTCAGTGGATACTGAAAGACCGCTCGATCTTACACTAAGTGTTTGGTCTAAGTTCTTAGTATTCGGTCCAAGTTTTAAGTGTTCGGTTGTTATAGTGTTTGACCTCAAATTGTATTTAGCTCATATTTAAGCCTTGCTCTTCAAATTGACCGTTCGGTCATATTTATGGGTAGTAGTTGTTACCGTTCGGTTCTGTTCTGGGTAGTGAGAAATCGTTCGGTTTCCACTATTCACAGGGTGTGTGGTCTTGTTTATATATGTTGATGTTTTCTGTTCGGCCTATATTTATATTTATTCCAATGTGTTATTTTAATTAATTGTTCCAATGGCTTTGCTGGCTTATGTATGCATTATCATAATGGTGTAAAAATGAAAGTATGGTATGATAATTGTAATATGAATGTGGAAGAGAATTCCAAGGAGGAATGTCTTGTGAATGGTTGTGGAATTTTAAAGTATGAATATGGATATGCTAAGCTGGCGTTCATCCTAATATTTTGTGATTACTCATTCTCAAGTAGAGAGGAGTAACTCATATGTAAGAATGGCAGGAGGTCCTACCGCCTTAGGGTGCCGAGGTAGGTATTATGAGATTAACCTTGGGTAGTAGCTTGATTGGTGTCAGCTGTTACACTACCACAAGTGCAAGGACGACGGTAGCTACATATTCATACAATCTGGATAGTCATGTCAAGTGGTCGGTCATTACATGGATGTTATGTTCGGTCTTTGTCTGTAATGTATGGTCAGTTATTGTATGATTGAAATGATTGGTTGACACATGCTTATGTATTTGTTTAATTTGCATGATTAATGTAATCAATTAAATTACTCTCGTTAACCCTTGTTTTTCTTTGGTCTGTCCTCGTGTGTCTGTTTCTCTTTTGCGATGATCACCTGAATGGTGTGAGCTTATGGATACATTCTTTTCAGTTGGAACAGCTGAAGGGGAAAAGTGAAGCTGATAGTATAGGTAGTTATCTTGTCCTTCAGGTGAAATTTTATTCACTCAATCTGTAGTTCTTGTTATATCATTATCTATGTATTATCTATGTAATGTTTCATTTTAGTAGTATTAAATTACTAAATTGGGATGTTACATTATATTGTATATTTTTTAAAATAATATTAAAAGCTAAATAGTTATTTTTAAAAGAATTAAAGATGCATGGAAATATTTAATATTATCGTCTAATCACAAGCTACTCCTTACATATTTTGCATTCGAAACTAAATTTTTCCTGTGAAGTTAAAATATGATATTTGAACACCTAAATGAAAATAGGATAACAAAAAGAAGGTACCCATTGTTTGGTTGATGAGGAGAATGAAAAAAAAAGGAAAGTAAAAAAATGTGACAAAAAATTATTTTACATAATATTGGAAAAAAATATAATTATATTCTCTTTTTTGTTTATTGTACAGGCAACTTTTATTTCTCCGTCCCTTTTTTCATCTAAAATAAAGAATGGTCAATTACTTGAAGAAATCAATTTTCATGTACCAAATAAAAAATGCACTGTAAAAAAATATTTTTATAAACAAAATTTAAAATAATTATACTGAAACTTGAGATTTTAAAATACTGCAATTTGTGAATAATAAAATTTAGGAAATATCTATGCTATAATTAATATAACAAAATATTGAAGATAATTATTCCACGTCAATGATAATTATGTCCCAACTTATAATTGAAAACAAAAGGAAGAATTTAAAAAACCTATGTTTTTATATGCTTCCAATGCATTCTATAGTGGACCCAATGTCCCTCCCCTTTCCTTTTCGCCTACAATATCACTCTCACTTTCATCACCATCACCATGTATAAATGAAACTTAACAAACTTGTATGATAATTTCTAATTCATAATTCAAATGATAATATAAATAAATTGCACTGTTACAGATACTTCATATATATATATATATATATAAGAGAATAAAATATGGTTAAGAAGTATTATTTCATGACCTATCAATTATGAAACATGGGATCATGAGGTTATTATGAGGGTCTTGGATGAAGTATAAGGAACGAAAATGAAAATAATAGTTTACATCCTCCATAGTATGATCATGGACTGCACATTAAAAAAATATCACATAAAGTTGAATGTTATCTATCTACTTACCTCATGCTCATATCAGTAACTACAAATGAAACAAACAAATATCAAGCTTGCAATACATAAATCTATATGCACAAAGTTATCGGATAAGCTATATTATCATCCATAAATAATATTAAGCTTTGTGTATACAATCTGTAATTTTGACAATAATGGAGTGAATAATTCCAAAAGTTTGTTCTCCGCTAAATTGACACAGAATGCTACTAGATGCCCTGCACACTGGAAATATGGGGAGCGGTCTATGAAAACAGAATAGAACAATGACTGCATGAAAGAAATGTTGGATTTATCGAGGAGAAGATTAACAGTGGAGATATAACACTAATGAGATAAAAATCCAATCATATAAGAGATTGACATTACTCTTTATCTAAAACCTTAAAAATAATGGATCTTTCATCTTTATATAGTGTTCTACTTTATCATTTAAAAATGTGGAACTTGGACTCACTGGATTCCCATCAAGAAATAGCAACTCTAGTGCCCATTTGAATTTCGCATCTCAGCATCAAACAGTTTTTGCATAAGCATTAAAAACTAGAGCAATAGCATGGATAAATAACAGGATAATTTTCTATAATCTGATCAAGAACAAGACGATATTATAAAGTTAACCATTCTCTTCATGAGTAAAAAACAAAGGTTGGGAGAATCAATTTACACGAGAAAGTTACTTATGGTCAATGTTTCAAGAGAAGCTTCAAAACAGTTACATTACACCGGTGAGCCGTCGAGCAGAAAAGCAGTTAAAATTTAGGATGCACAGTTTCAATGCCCTAAAGGATCTCCAATTGGTAAGGTAAGAAAATGTCTTCAAAAAAATGTTTCCCGCACATCAACAGCTGCAATCCCTTTTTAAACATCCAAACCCGTTTGTAGAAGTTAATAATCTTTCCTTCAGCATTGTACATCAATTCCACGTCCCAGTCACGCTGTCCCCCACTTCCTCTTGCATTATCTTTCATCTTGAATTCCATTCACAAAAATCTGTCTATGGAGCTGAACCAGTATCCAGAGTCATGCATGCTGTTCATTACAGCAGGTAAGACATTTTACTGATGAAGAAAATCAGCCCGTTTTGAGCAATAACATTATGAATGGTCAGAGAGAATGTCATTGCAAAGAACACACGTCAAGAAAGTCATTGTAAATGTTGAGGTACAACTGACACCATGTCATAAGACTCAAACTTAGTAGATAGAAGCATCAAACCTCGGCTCATAGAAACAAACTTGATTGTTGTATGACTGGAGAGCACACCCACCAATCCATGACCAGATCTTTTTATCCACATCATATAGAAGGCCTTTCCCTTGGTTCCAAGACGTGAAGCAGATTAGATTATCCTGCCCAAAGCATTCAAATCGCTCCGCTGATAATCTCAATAAAGCACGAAAATACTTCGGGGGCATCCTACTGATCTCCACCCACGTAAATTTGGTATGATCCAATTCCCAAATTCTCATACTCTGAAGAGTACTATAAAGGCCAATCCTTCCAACAAGAAAAAGACGTTTTTGGGTACCAGCAACCAAATAACCATCCAACAAAGATCGAGGAAACTTAGCCGGAATATGTTCCCAGTGACCTGTGTCTAATCTATACATCATCAGACCCAGCGGTGAAAGGGTTTCTAAGTACAATCTGGAGTCACAATACGCCATTTTTGAAGAGCAGAGATTAACTGCTGGCATAATCTGATGAATTGTCCAACTGTCGATCTTTGAGTCATAAACTTCAGTTGGCAATGACTTGTCACCGTAAATATCGCTGGTGGCTATCACTTTAAATGACCGATCCACCCGATCAACAACCAATATCAGTTGCCTTTGTTGATGGTAATGCATACTAGGCAATGCCCTCCAAGTTTGAGTTAGAGGGTTACACACCAGGGTCTTGAACATTAGTCCATCATGCCCAGAAAAGCAAACAAGACCACCACAAGAGCCAACTAACCAGAATGCCCATGGTGGCAAGAAAGTGAACGGTATTCTATACCAAGATTTCAGTGGTAAGCTGAAAACAGAACACTGCGGGATCTGCGTGTTCTTCCAAAATGTAAGGAGACACGGCCCGTGTGATGGCACACTGGAATGGAATTTGAGAAAACTACTATCTTGAAGCAGAGAATTCCACCGTTTACAAACCAATCGGAGGCGGAAAATTAAAAACGGAGGCACCCTAGCTAAGATCTCATGTAACAAGTCCTCGGGCAACATTGCCCATATATTATCCTCCATTTGAACATCAGCATGCACTACCTTACCAAATGTGGCAAGAGTTTCCTCATCCAAACCCCTTGGCTTGGTCTTAACAACCTTCTGCCGCGAAGGGCTCGTGTTCCTGGACCCTCCCCGCCCCATTGGACTAGTATTCCTGGACCCACCACTCCTTGGAGGGGAAGCTTGCTTGCAGCACCTCCCATCTCCACCAAAACCTCCATTTTCTACTGATTGAGCAACACAAACTCCAGACCCTGATTTAGAAGAATGCCCAGCACAATCCATGTCCTCTATCTATATAATTCCTCCAAACCCCCAAATCAAGCAAAATTTCAGATTCAAGCATCTATTCCACACCCCCGCTCCAACCAAAGAATAGACACATAATTTTTTCAATCACCGATGCTCCAGAGCTATCTTTTCGGATACCCTAGATCAAGATCCAAAATGGTAAAGATCTCAAAACCCCAGATGATCATGTAAATAGCGTAAAAAAATTGTTTTTTTAAGCAGCAAGCTATGCTGAGGGTGAAGAGCGAGAATTACCTCCGATTTTGGAACCAAGCAGTCCCATTGATGAGAGAAAAAGTTGATAGAGGTTGAAAGATTGAGATTGTGAGAAGAACATGGAAGAATGAACTTTGGTCCTGTAAGAGTCTCTCTCTTTGGTTGGATTTGATTTACTTTGTCACTATTTGACAAAGGGAACACAAAATTCAATAATCATAATTACTGTTTGGTTACTTATCCCACTTCGTTCTGTGTTCAGGTGCGGACGCATCTACAATAGCAACCCCTAACTTTCAGCCGCGTCACCAGATCTATATATCCATGATCAATCACTCACCGTTATAGTTAAATTACTCTTTTTTAAATTATTGTAAGGTTCAATCCCTTAATAAAAAGTTTAGTTTTGGTTCTACCGTTAATGCTATTAATACACATCATAATTTTTAAGAAAAAAAATTGTAATTACTTTAACAATTCTTTTAAAAACCAAAATTATTTCCCAGGAGTGTAATTTGGTGAAAAAAATGGTTCCTAATTATAATTTAATTAGTGATTAGGAGGAAACTTTTACCAATTTCCAAATTTCTGTATGTATGTATGAAATTTCTCTAAATGTAAGAATCNTTGCTGGTGTTGTTCTTGAGTGTGTTTAAGGAAGTGGAGTAGCAAAAATGGGGAATTGGGGTTAGGAGTTCAATTGGTCACTGGGGAAAGCTTAGATGAGTTATTTAGGACTTGTTAGAATCCCTAAGTCAACCAAACTGTGCCAAAAACCAGTAGAATTGAATTTGAGTCCTTAGGTTGATGATTATGCAGTTTTGGATCGTGAATTTGGTAGCAGACTCTTTAGAAAGTGTTTATAAAGGTTTAGACATCCTTGGAATAATGTAAGTTGGTATATGATTCAAGTATGGGGAATTAGAAGTTGGGAAAAATATTCAGTTTTGGTAAAGTTAGGAGTTTTTCATAATTTTGCAGATATTTCTGCAGAATTATGTAGAATGTGGAATATGCGTTGTTGACCGCTTGGCCATGCGTTGATTGGCCGTTCGGCCATATTCAGGTGCTCGGTCATTAACTGGGTTCAGTCTCCTTAGAGTCTTACCAGTCCATGACCGTTCGGTATTAGGTGTGGGTGATATTCCTTTTGGGTTCGGTCTTAACTGAGTTCTGCTTCTGTGGAGTTTTCAATTAACGACCGGATGATCTTGCACTAGTACTCGGTCTGGTATTGTTGTTCGGCCTTTGATGGGCCTTACCTGTTACTAACCGTTCAGTCATGCTTTAGTGTTCGGTCCTAAGAGAGTATTTTGTCTAAGTCCAGAGTGTTCGGCTTTAGGTGGGTACTTTGTCTTGGAAGTGCTTGGACATGTATTAGTGTTGGGTTTTTCCCTGGTGATTTGGTCCTTAATAGTGTTCGGCCATTTCTTCAGCCTTACCTAGTATGGACCGTTCGGTCCTGTTCAGTGGATACTGAAAGACCGCTCGATCTTACACTAAGTGTTTGGTCTAAGTTCTTAGTATTCGGTCCAAGTTTTAAGTGTTCGGTTGTTATAGTGTTTGACCTCAAATTGTATTTAGCTCATATTTAAGCCTTGCTCTTCAAATTGACCGTTCGGTCATATTTATGGGTAGTAGTTGTTACCGTTCGGTTCTGTTCTGGGTAGTGAGAAATCGTTCGGTTTCCACTATTCACAGGGTGTGTGGTCTTGTTTATATATGTTGATGTTTTCTGTTCGGCCTATATTTATATTTATTCCAATGTGTTATTTTAATTAATTGTTCCAATGGCTTTGCTGGCTTATGTATGCATTATCATAATGGTGTAAAAATGAAAGTATGGTATGATAATTGTAATATGAATGTGGAAGAGAATTCCAAGGAGGAATGTCTTGTGAATGGTTGTGGAATTTTAAAGTATGAATATGGATATGCTAAGCTGGCGTTCATCCTAATATTTTGTGATTACTCATTCTCAAGTAGAGAGGAGTAACTCATATGTAAGAATGGCAGGAGGTCCTACCGCCTTAGGGTGCCGAGGTAGGTATTATGAGATTAACCTTGGGTAGTAGCTTGATTGGTGTCAGCTGTTACACTACCACAAGTGCAAGGACGACGGTAGCTACATATTCATACAATCTGGATAGTCATGTCAAGTGGTCGGTCATTACATGGATGTTATGTTCGGTCTTTGTCTGTAATGTATGGTCAGTTATTGTATGATTGAAATGATTGGTTGACACATGCTTATGTATTTGTTTAATTTGCATGATTAATGTAATCAATTAAATTACTCTCGTTAACCCTTGTTTTTCTTTGGTCTGTCCTCGTGTGTCTGTTTCTCTTTTGCGATGATCACCTGAATGGTGTGAGCTTATGGATACATTCTTTTCAGTTGGAACAGCTGAAGGGGAAAAGTGAAGCTGATAGTATAGGTAGTTATCTTGTCCTTCAGGTGAAATTTTATTCACTCAATCTGTAGTTCTTGTTATATCATTATCTATGTATTATCTATGTAATGTTTCATTTTAGTAGTATTAAATTACTAAATTGGGATGTTACATTATATTGTATATTTTTTAAAATAATATTAAAAGCTAAATAGTTATTTTTAAAAGAATTAAAGATGCATGGAAATATTTAATATTATCGTCTAATCACAAGCTACTCCTTACATATTTTGCATTCGAAACTAAATTTTTCCTGTGAAGTTAAAATATGATATTTGAACACCTAAATGAAAATAGGATAACAAAAAGAAGGTACCCATTGTTTGGTTGATGAGGAGAATGAAAAAAAAAGGAAAGTAAAAAAATGTGACAAAAAATTATATTACATAATATTGGAAAAAAATATAATTATATTCTCTTTTTTGTTTATTGTACAGGCAACTTTTATTTCTCCGTCCCTTTTTTCATCTAAAATAAAGAATGGTCAATTACTTGAAGAAATCAATTTTCATGTACCAAATAAAAAATGCACTGTAAAAAAATATTTTTATAAACAAAATTTAAAATAATTATACTGAAACTTGAGATTTTAAAATACTGCAATTTGTGAATAATAAAATTTAGGAAATATCTATGCTATAATTAATATAACAAAATATTGAAGATAATTATTCCACGTCAATGATAATTATGTCCCAACTTATAATTGAAAACAAAAGGAAGAATTTAAAAAACCTATGTTTTTATATGCTTCCAATGCATTCTATAGTGGACCCAATGTCCCTCCCCTTTCCTTTTCGCCTACAATATCACTCTCACTTTCATCACCATCACCATGTATAAATGAAACTTAACAAACTTGTATGATAATTTCTAATTCATAATTCAAATGATAATATAAATAAATTGCACTGTTACAGATACTTCATATATATATATATATATATAAGAGAATAAAATATGGTTAAGAAGTATTATTTCATGACCTATCAATTATGAAACATGGGATCATGAGGTTATTATGAGGGTCTTGGATGAAGTATAAGGAACGAAAAGGAAAATAATAGTTTACATCCTCCATAGTATGATCATGGACTGCACATTAAAAAAATATCACATAAAGTTGAATGTTATCTATCTACTTACCTCATGCTCATATCAGTAACTACAAATGAAACAAACAAATATCAAGCTTGCAATACATAAATCTATATGCACAAAGTTATCGGATAAGCTATATTATCATCCATAAATAATATTAAGCTTTGTGTATACAATCTGTAATTTTGACAATAATGGAGTGAATAATTCCAAAAGTTTGTTCTCCGCTAAATTGACACAGAATGCTACTAGATGCCCTGCACACTGGAAATATGGGGAGCGGTCTATGAAAACAGAATAGAACAATGACTGCATGAAAGAAATGTTGGATCTATCGAGGAGAAGATTAACAGTGGAGATATAACACTAATGAGATAAAAATCCAATCATATAAGAGATTGACATTACTCTTTATCTAAAACCTTAAAAATAATGGATCTTTCATCTTTATATAGTGTTCTACTTTATCATTTAAAAATGTGGAACTTGGACTCACTGGATTCCCATCAAGAAATAGCAACTCTAGTGCCCATTTGAATTTCGCATCTCAGCATCAAACAGTTTTTGCATAAGCATTAAAAACTAGAGCAATAGCATGGATAAATAACAGGATAATTTTCTATAATCTGATCAAGAACAAGACGATAATATAAAGTTAACCATTCTCTTCATGAGTAAAAAACAAAGGTTGGGAGAATCAATTTACACGAGAAAGTTACTTATGGTCAATGTTTCAAGAGAAGCTTCAAAACAGTTACATTACACCGGTGAGCCGTCGAGCAGAAAAGCAGTTAAAATTTAGGATGCACAGTTTCAATGCCCTAAAGGATCTCCAATTGGTAAGGTAAGAAAATGTCTTCAAAAAAATGTTTCCCGCACATCAACAGCTGCAATCCCTTTTTAAACATCCAAACCCGTTTGTAGAAGTTAATAATCTTTCCTTCAGCATTGTACATCAATTCCACGTCCCAGTCACGCTGTCCCCCACTTCCTCTTGCATTATCTTTCATCTTGAATTCCATTCACAAAAATCTGTCTATGGAGCTGAACCAGTATCCAGAGTCATGCATGCTGTTCATTACAGCAGGTAAGACATTTTACTGATGAAGAAAATCAGCCCGTTTTGAGCAATAACATTATGAATGGTCAGAGAGAATGTCATTGCAAAGAACACACGTCAAGAAAGTCATTGTAAATGTTGAGGTACAACTGACACCATGTCATAAGACTCAAACTTAGTAGATAGAAGCATCAAACCTCGGCTCATAGAAACAAACTTGATTGTTGTATGACTGGAGAGCACACCCACCAATCCATGACCAGATCTTTTTATCCACATCATATAGAAGGCCTTTCCCTTGGTTCCAAGACGTGAAGCAGATTAGATTATCCTGCCCAAAGCATTCAAATCGCTCCGCTGATAATCTCAATAAAGCACGAAAATACTTCGGGGGCATCCTACTGATCTCCACCCACGTAAATTTGGTATGATCCAATTCCCAAATTCTCATACTCTGAAGAGTACTATAAAGGCCAATCCTTCCAACAAGAAAAAGACGTTTTTGGGTACCAGCAACCAAATAACCATCCAACAAAGATCGAGGAAACTTAGCCGGAATATGTTCCCAGTGACCTGTGTCTAATCTATACATCATCAGACCCAGCGGTGAAAGGGTTTCTAAGTACAATCTGGAGTCACAATACGCCATTTTTGAAGAGCAGAGATTAACTGCTG